GCAGTGCCAGGATTAATTGAAGAGATGCATCAGTTTTACAATACAATAACAATATGGTATATTTTGCATCACCAGGTTCATACACGTCTTTGCAAAAGCACATATGGAAACAACACACACGCAGAAGCAAAGTGCCAGACAGCAGCCAAAGCACTAATAGCTCGCTGCAACTGGCAGCCCAATGCCACCTTGCACGAGAATCATTAAAAGAGAAAAACCTTGGCCTTTGACATCACCAACAGGTTTACATATGGCTACCGTACACACAAACAGCATCGTGCACAACACGCTTCTTTAGCTTTCGTGCACAATACACGAAATCTTTAAACACATAATTAAATCCAACAAGCACCTCCCACCCCCCTCAGCATCAATGCGGTGAACTGAGGAAAAGCAAACGACACGCAGCGACGCAAATCAAGGCTGATGAAATTATTTTGTCTCTTCCACGCCACGCATTTGGTACTTAGCAAAAATGAACCTATGGCGATACACAGGGATGACAGGGGGCTGGCTGCGATCAACTCTTTTTTAGTTGTTATGGAAATATTTGGTTTTCTTTTATCGCAGGCCAATTGGAACCTCAATCCCTTTGAAGATTATCAAGTCTACATTTTAAACAGGAAACGACCAGAGCCGTAGCTACTTTCAAAGCAAGATCAAAGTCAATTTGTTAATGCTGTTCATGGTTATTGAATGGATTTCAAAAGCCATCGGAGTTTGAGACAAACAACAGATTCTGGTCTCGTCGAAAACTAAGGTGACACGGTGTAAGATTAAGTGATTATTTTGAACTCCTATGAGCCAGATAGTCTAGAAACATGTCTCACATGACTGACCTGATGTCATCTTAGTTTACTGACCTCTTTTGAACGTCTTCCCTGTATGTTGTCCACGTACTGACTATACAACTTGTATGGGACATTTTATGAGCATAACGCGAACAAAATGGATCTTCAAAATATTTTGAAGCATTGGCCGTATGAGTTAACCGAATAGTCAAGCCAAGCTATGACATGACTTTAAGCTTACCCCATCATTTCATCTACATATTAATTACTATCGCCGCCACTTTTTGAATTTGAAAAACCCGTGCTCGCCCCGCAAGGAAATATTGAAACCCGCCCCGCCCCGCAGAACAATTCGAAAAAAGAAGCCCGCAATGACGCGCAAACATCGTTTTTATTCCTAGTAAATACTTTAAAATTTGACATGGTTTCAGCCCCGGAACTAAATATTTCAACAATTCTACATGGCGCTATGTACTGTTTTAGCTCAGTATTTCCAGACCAGCACTGCTAAATCTTATTTATCACTCCCGTTTTGCTTGTACAGAACCCCAATCTACTGTTTGACCTCGAAGAAGGCACTATGAAAAATATACCACATTTCTTGCTTTAGTTTCTGTCTTCAAAGTAACTGCTTAACTGAGGTATCACATTTCTTTCACTTCAAGGCTTAAAAATATGACTCATTGCAAGGAAACTTCAGATCCTCAGGAGGGTCTGATCAAGAAGGGTGAGGAGGGTCTGGCCAAAACACAACAATTTTGGTCAAAGATAAAATTCTGGTGTCCAAAACATCATCCGCATGGCTTTTCAGAAGGCACTCAGAATAATGTAACGACCAATGCCTTGAAAGTAAGGGCATATGACAAGTCTTACTCTAGAAAACATTACTCAACTTGTGTTCACCTATGTTACTTATTCACTTAATTTGCATTTATGCATGCGTTCATGTTATCCCTTGAATGCCCCACATAATACACATCTTTTACACAGCGCAAGTAAACAGTGAAGCGTGCAATTTGTTGTGACCTAAATTGCAAAAGGGTGACTGCATGGCATGTTCAGACTAAGGTACATGGTATTATATCCGATCTAACAAGTGTACATTTGAGCAGCAAATAGTCGTGCACCACCACGTGCATCGGCACACAGGGCAGCTGCGGCAGCTGCACATAAATGTTGAGCACAATACAGATGTTCCATGACATCTGGTAAACTACGTTCTTTTACATGACCAGACTTCTATGCAGCCAGCATAATGTGTTCAATTGTGACGGCGGCGGCGCCGTAGGTTTTCAGTTGGGTGGCGAGGGCAAGATATTCCAGGACATATTTGATTTTTCCAGACATTTTCCAGACATACCGGACATAATATGGCTTCCTCCTCAAATAATTACGTGCATCATGCCAGTGTCATCCAGAATGAGAAGGAAGGGGCCTTCTGATGTATAAAAGTGTATTGAGAGCCCAATTTAATGCCGTCTAGCTCAGTTATGGGGGCCTTTTCAATCCAAGTTTCGGTTAGCTGCGGCAGCTGCAATGCATTTAGTTCGGGGAAAAGGGGGTCTCCCAAAACATGTGCGGGGGCGGAAACATACCCTTCCTTCCACTAACCACCCTCTGCTGCGCCGCCCTGGTGCCAGAAATTGGCCGATGTCAACTACTATTTTCGGCTGCACGACGGAGTGCTAGGGCTGGTTGGACAAACAACAACCGAGTACACAGAACACAGTATATACGCAAAAATAACTTTACTTCCCGATGATGTCGAGGACGACACGGTCGAGCTCGTCGAGGGCGTCCTCGTCGCTGGAATTTGCCAACAGGAATTTCACGGGCAGCACGCACCACGTACTTGACACGACATCATTGACAGCGACATGCAGCGGTGATGAAGTGAAGCGAAACTTTCTCAAATGAGCGCACGGGCTCCTAATTGGGGATGGGTGTACACGATCGCGGTCCATTCAATGGACAACACGACTTGGCTTTGTTTCGCTTCAAGGAGCGCCATATGTGCTTAACCAAAGACGTCCCAAAATGACAGTGTTTTTTCCCATTCTAGCTCCGCCTGACCCGTCATGTTGTCTGATGGTTGGATAGTCCTTAAGGAAAGAATAGGAATATAGCCAGGGCGACCGACCACCGGCCAACAGCATTTTGGCGAGATATTACGCGATGTCACAAGGATTGGGTCCACATTTGCGGGAGTTGCGAAAATACTGAACATTTACCCCACCTGTTGAGGAAAGTTCTGGCAACATGTACGGCAAAGGTCAATATGTGGTTTGCATTCACCCAGACCAGGTGTCGGGAAGGTTAGTCGCCATTTCCTTTGTGATCCACCGTGATTCAGGGGTGCTGCCACACAGAGCCGGATGTAAGGTCCGTACTGAATGCATGGGAATCCGTTATGCTAATTAGTGACTGCCAGGTTTGTTGATTCTTAATGCGCCTCCCGAGGGCACGACTTGGCTACGAAAGGTGAGTGGATGAGGGGGGGGGGGGTAGGGGGACAAGCGCTAATTTTGACCAAACGCCAATTTCTTTCCTGTGCCTGTCATCAACAATGCCATGTTAAAACTCAGTGACTGGAACGGTAAGCGGCATTTAACAAAACAGCTCTTGTTTTCCAGCAACTGTACGGTAAATTGAAGGGCGCTGATGGCGCACAGAGGCGCACTTCAGCGCGGGCGGAAGTCGTGGCGATCGCCACTTCAATAGGCTTATGCAAGCCTTCATGAAAAAATTCAACAACTTAAGAAAAAACTATGTAAACAATGCTGTACAAAAAACCACAGGCAGGCAACACCTGCGCTGCCGCCTGATGTTTATGCCCTACTTATCAACTCGTTTCAGTCCTGACGTGTTTACTTCAACTTAGAGCAGTGTATTCGCAAAAGATCATTCGTCTTTCCCTATCACATTTGTCCTAGATCTCTCGTAATGATTTTATGAGGATTATAAACGTGGTTTCTCTGTAGGCCAAGTAACTGTACGCCAAATCAACTTGTCAAACTGATCGAAACGTCAAGCTTTTCAACTATGTGCACAGGCACTTCTGCACTTACTTAGTGTTTAGCAGCCAAATGCCGACCTTGCATCGCGTTTCTATCTTTCCCCTAGACAAGATGGCGAAAAGATGTCGGACGGGCATGGGGGGGCGGCGCCGACGTCCAACTAAATGACCTGGATGAGGTCATACTGGATGTCATCGGTTAGTATTACTGGCTACAATGGTGACAAATACCTGTACTGTCATGCAGTGAACTGTCATTTAAACAATGACGTATTGAGGAGCGAATGTACTAAACAGTATTATTTTCACTTACAAATGTACCTATCTTATACCAATGGTGTGCTTTTCCCTAATATCTGATGCTTGTTCCAATATTTTGTGATGTGGAATATCCCCGTTGAGCAAGAATTGTGTTTCTCTTCATTGTTGTCAGCGGGACGATTACGTGTCGAATGGAGCCATTGATGAGTCGCTATTTCTTTTCCGTGCTTCACCTCTGTCATCTTTGGTTATTGTTGCATAGCCGTTGCTTTCGAGCAATCAATGTACTTCAGGTCAAGAGGGCGAAGCGGCCACGACCAACGTCGCAGGCGGCAGAACCGTGTCGTCATGGGATACTGGGAGTACAACAGATAGCAGTACACATGATCTTCTCTTGGATCCGGTGCTAAAATTTGTGATTTGTAACGAGCTTCAGCCCCCGGTGCTAGTTCAGGCTAACACGTTGACAGCCAGCTCCTCGCCGTCGGCGTCCTCTCAACACGCAGTGTCCGCCTCATCCGAGCTCGACCGGCACGCTTTACCCGAGAGGACCGGCGGCTACTCAGCATACCTGACGAGGAGCGCACGGCAGAAGAGCGGGCTGAGGTCAAGATCTGTTTGACCACTCAGCTCCTGGAGCATCTGGGCATTACCTTGTGCCCAGAAACAGGAAAATCACCCTTGTGATAGCATTTGATTCTGATGTTGAGATGCCCATTCACCCAGTTTGCTCGAGGTGCGTTTTTTTGTCCCCGGCTATGCAAAACACAACTGAGCTGTGCCTGGCGTGCTTCGCCATTTCTGTGATATGAAACTAGTACCGGTTCATTGATGGATTTATTATCAAAGAAACAAGGTTGAACGGCAGACATGGACATGGACACGGAACTAGCGGAATTGCCGGATGACGGCGTTGCGGCGCTCCTGTTCAGCACGCCGCTCCGCTGCACCGCCCTCACCGAAGGCGGCTACCTGGTCGTCACCGCCTACCGCGGCCTCTTGCGTGCCTTCACCGCCGAGCCATTCCCCAAAATGGCGTTGGCGAAGGCGTTTTCGACAACGACCCTCGTGCGCGAGTGTGCTTGGTTGTACCTGCCAATAGAAATGGACATGAAAACATGGCCGTGCTCGCCAACCACTATATCACCCTACTCCACGAATTGAACGCAAGGAATATTTAACCAAAGAAGAAACTTTAACTTGATGTAATCGATGTAACTTGACATTCAAGACGCAAGCACGCACAATTGCTCCTGAATGCCCCATCATGCATCACCAATTCGGAACAGAATCACATCAAATTTGCAGAGGGTCTCTGCCAGTCCATTATTACTTTCAATAGCGTCTAGGATACAGCGAAGTAATGTGATTTGCCCAGTCAGACACACTTGACCTTGGCTAACCTATTTGATCCGAACTTCCCCATTGGTTACGAAATGGTTTCCTCCGACCATCGTCTTTTTAATATTGTGAAAATGGCCTGGAGTCCCGCACTAACGCAATTGTTTGCCTAGATTTTGGAGCCCCACCCCTCGCTGTGAGCAAATACGTTTTGTCGCGGACGCAAGCGTTTTTGTAAACACAGACGCATTGGGTTCTTGCTACCATCTTACGCCTGCTCCTCGGGACATGCAAGTGCCGCTACTGGGGTCAGCAGCCACGGCATCACTGGGTAGGCGCTGTCGCCGAGCAAGACCCCATGATACGCGCTGGTCCTTGATGTAATGTGGAGCTGAACAGTGAAATTTCGTTTTTGGATTGACCGCTTGGAAGCATACCTTAAAGTTCCGGACGAGGCAATTTACAACCAGTTTGCTAGTTAGTTGGGCTGCTGCACACATTGGTCTGGTGGCCAAAGTCATTGCCTGATATTTCATACGCTGTTTCATTTATGTTGTGTTCTGTAGTGGGAAAGCATATTACATTTGAGAAATGCTCTTGCCTTTTAGTCCTTCAATTGTATAACTAACATTTCGACGAGGCCAGATGTCCGCAGCACTCGAGCGTCATGGACCCGACCAGCGCAATGCGTCACGGCCGCGTAGATGCTCCGGTGACGTCCGGCAACTGCCATGCAGTTAACTGACGTGGAGCCTTTGCGGTTCACGTAGAGGGCCTTTGCGACTTCAGCGCTCGGATCGGGATGTGCGTTCCGTCACGCAACCTGAAACCGTCCGTCATCGTCCGCCGAATGCGTTTTGTATGACCTGTCTCTGCAGGTGTGAACGTACATCTCTGGGGCAATGAGAGGTGTGCGCAACGCTACGGCGTCTGGTTGAGTGTGACTAAAGAATGTGTACACTTAAAGAGAATATTTCACATTTAGATGAGATCTTGACCTGAAATGTTGCTCTTGAGGACCTATCGGTGCAGTTCGCAATCCTGCCCTTCTTAAAGACCTAAGCTTCTCTAGTTTCTGAGCTGCACGCCCGCAAACATGGGGTCAGATATACCGGGGAGCGCATTTCAGTCACTTTGGCATTGAAGTTTGCGACATGACGGGTAGATGCATCAGAAACATCACACAACAATGCAGCCGCGCCTAACGCGAGATGACGTCGAAGGGTTACACGGGTCGTAACGCGCATCACGCAATGCTATGCTTGCGTCAGAAAATTCTGGCGTTGGTCAATCATTTCAGGGCCGGATAGTCGCGGGCAAAGGGCTTATGTCGCGAGCACCGTTTAGCGTCCCTTCTGCTTTCTAAAAGACCTTCAATCTTCGGCCCAAATCTGCATAGCGGTAATACTGAACGAAGCATATGACAGAAAACGTTGGAAACAAACATCGAATGGAGTTAAAGGTTGCGGAGTTTAACGTTCCTGAGATCAAATCCAGATTCTTTTCCGACATGTTTCTGAGATAAGATTCCAAGCAAAGGGGGTTTGCTGCATTAACCATGGCCCTCCATCCGGTCGTGAAATTTCAGATCACTGGCGGCTTCTGGTGATCGGAGTTTGACGTTGCGTGATGCTCGGCATGGTCCGACATGCCCTGTGACATAACCTGATCTTTAGCGCGACAGCTGCTACGGGTGGGTGGCTTGGTGGATCGGGAGACAGGCGCTTTAAACAAATGAGCTTAAGGGTTGGAAAAACAAAAACAAAAAACAAAACAAAAGCGTATGCATCAATGTACACAAAAGTTAACTTCGTAGCACGGCGTATGATTCGAACCTCAGCATTGACGCTTGAATAGCGATAAGGCAAGTTACGCAGAAACTTATTTTGTTGTTTAACTCCTTTGCTTCGTTTTGTGTTAAGAAGTCTGCAGAAGGAAAGTGCAAGGTGCAGCATCAAATTGTTGGTGTTACATAGTTTTTGATGCTCATCACACTGTTATGAATTTACAATGCTTGAATGCATGCCGTCTCATTTTATGACCCCACATGTCAAAAAATAAGACAGTTTTGTCAGGTTAATGACATTACGTCCAACTGAAATTGAAACGTGCGCCTTTGTTTGCTGAGGCATCTCGCATTGGCCCATAAGTTCCACATTTTGTGAATTGAATTGTTCTTTCCTGTATGACCTTTTTGGGGTAGAATTATTCACTCCCACACTCGTCCAAAAGCGATTCTAGATCACTGCTCAAAACACAGAAGTGCATATTGGTCTTCCACTATCATTTGAGATCTTACCTGAAGTCTTCTCAAACTTGCCACTCCAGATTTACAAGGGGCCTAAAACTCGCCGGCGGCGCACCCTTTTATGGTCACCATTAGTTTGAGAGGCCATCCTTCCAAGCTGCGTGGAGGTCGCTGAACTTCAAAGTACGCACGCTAAGGTGAACAATAAATGTATAACAGTGAAAACAGCAGGCACAAATTCTGAATTAAACTACAACAAACAACCCAGATAACAGTTAAATAACACAACACGCACGGTTCCCGGACCACGACCCGTCGGCAGCCAATCAATGCATATACCACTGAAGACCAGCGTCACCCACGATCTAATGCGATATGAAAAAGGCAATTGTGGGGCTGATTTTTTTCAGCGTTTGCTCGACAATCCCTATGCATTTTCTTCCACGCTTCTCGCCGCGCGTTTTATTTACAAACCTCGGCGGAGGAAAATCGCTCCCGACAGCGGATTATTTTGTGGAGGAGAACTTTTTGCCCCAAGCTTTATAAAATTCGGAGGAGGAAAATCTTTAAAAAATTGCCTCCATTGACGGTATTTTTTAAAATAAAACTGACCTCTTATCATGATAATAAAACACTGGTATTATGCTGGTTCACTGAATCACTGTTCCACTGGTTTTTATGACAATACCATTTCTATGTGTTTACTTCTGCTTAAGACTAAGATTGGCAGGGAGTGAGGTGATGTAGAATATGTACGCAATTACGAAAGAGATGGGGGTGGTGGAGGAGATACAGGTTTACAGGTAGGTTTACTTTAGAGAGCAGGAGGTTTTGTGGGCTTACGGCCCGATTGTCATAGGAGTTCAGTAGAAGATTGGCATTTAGTTTTCTCTGAGAACAATTCCGGCCATTTGTCCCCGCTGATTATAGTACCCCTTCTGTAACAAGAAAGCTGTTGAAGTGAGTGGTTCTGCGGTGCTTATCCATATACAAATTTTCTTTTCACTTCTGAGCTTGCCATTTGTATGGATTGAAATGCGATGCATTTTATAGTGGTTGTTGCTCACATAAAATGAAATAATGTCCTGATGGAACCCATAGTGTAATCACTATACATTAATTGCAGTTGTGAAGACAGGCAACCTGTTTTGTTCGCGGCGTGCACTGATAGTAGAAATGGATAAAGTTCGTCTGGTGGTGACATAATGGCAGAAGTGTCACTTTCATGGATGATGAGGGGAGAGGTGAAAATCGATAAGGCTTGTCTGGTGGTGGCATAATGGCAGGAATGTCACTTTATATACATGATTAGTGGGATAGTCGGCAAGCCATAAGTCTCACAACCTTCCCTCCTCGAAATGTGGTTGCGAACAGATTAAGTCTGCTTGATTTTCATTACAAGCAATGCCCATTCCATTTTTATTTTATTCACACGGCTTTTTTGAGCAGCATTATGGTCATGGCCCATGAATAAAGCCCAGAGAAGACAGGCTTCGTATTATCGTAAGCTTATTCCTCATGTCCGTTTGTAATCTTAGTGAGCAATCTTTGTAAGTACCAGTTTTGTGGGTTCTGGGGAACCGGCATTGAGGGGTTCATGAGAGTTTGGTAGGCCCCCAGCAAATGATTTGAATCGACACTACTGCATTATGCATGACAAGTGTCACAGCCGACCCTATCTTTGCTTGCTAGTTAGCGTGTAAAGGGCAATTTGGCTCGCTGGGTGAGTTTCTACCAATTTATGGATTCTGCTAAGAAAGTGTGTCATTATGCTGTACCAGATATTTTTGTTCATGATCTTACTGCAATTGTTCACCAGCATATGTAAAATAAATATGAAGGACGGTGCCAAGCAATCTTAACCCCTACGCTGATTCACCGGTTTTCATAACGCGGACTAGAGAAAGTATGGGAGGGGAAATGCCGTCTGCAGGGAAAGCAACTTGGAACCTCGCGAAAAAGCAATGGGTTGTCCTTAACGAGATCTTGCAATTGGCAAGAAGTCTCATGTTGTTAATAGGCTCCACTTTAACAAGGCTGAGGTCAAATTTCCCAGAAAGTCGAAATTTTCAGCTCTGCATACTCATTTGTCCGGAACCATGCCGCGTAGTGACATGGATCATAACGAGGCATGCTCCTTGTATAGTGATAAGTACAATAGCATTGGGACATATTTGTTTGACCCCATATTTATCGTGGCGGGCTTCGTTAAATAGTGTGTCTAGTCGAGTCGGAATTTTTTATTGTGTACGTAGGATTGCAGAAAACTTCTGTTTACATCGATTGATATCTTTGGTTTTTATAAATTCCCTTCCATTGACGACTTCCTTCAAGCGCCCCCAACTAGACACAATTAAAGGGGAGTGTTCCACGTTTATATGGGGTTTTGAGCTGAAAAATCATCTCGAAGACGCATCCGGCGCTATCCACGATTCTGCCCGTCTTAAGACAT